TGCGAGTAAGATTTTATCTTAATTCCTGTTGTTTTAATGTAGATTCAATTTTTAAAATGTAACCAAAAAATAATAATAAAGGTGTATGTGAACTATTATGTGATATTCCGTGAGCAGGTTTGCTTAGGGGAGATATACAGTGAGTGACTAAAAAGACTACCACATAGAAGGGTTAAAAGAAAAATAAAAAAGAGGCAGTTAGAATAAGCTCTTACTAGGGATATTATGCTTTTTAAATTTTATTTGGTCTAGTTTGCAAATTTGGAGTTATTTGAGGAAAAGGGAAATTCTATACAATGACTGATGATAAAACTTCAAAACCCACTACCTCTGAGAAACTCCACCAGTAAAACTAGCACCCAAACTCTGACCGTGATCATTTTCTAATGAAAAGAGCAACACCCAAGCAACAGATGTGAGACTCTTAGAGTAGAGAAAACTGCCAACTTGAGACCTTAGAACTTGATATTTGCCAGTAAAAAAAAAAAAAAAAAAAAAAAAAGACCAAATTTGCTTAAGAATATACATCCTTGGGCCAGTTGGTGAGGTAGTGGTTAGGGCAGTTGGATCCCACATGGCCGACTAAGCTGACAAATCCTGTTCCAAGTGGAATAGCATGCTAGGCACATGGGCATGCATACCCAAAGTCATGAGGGAAGAATGGAGAAGAGGAGATTGTGACCGGGCTATCTCCTGGGGGCGGGGGATGGAGGGAGGTGATTGCTCACTTTCCTCTGTCTTCCTCTATCTCCAGCAAGTGCACATGCCATACAAAAAAACAGGAATTGCCAGAAGGTATGTGCATTTGCCAAGTGAAGAGAGAGAGCACCTCCTCCATGAAGAATGTGCATGCCATAGTCCTTTTTCCATTTCTTCCTCCTTTTGAGACTTTTGGCACAGAGGCACATGCACCCAGCCTGTTTTTCAAGTTGTAGTGTCCAGAACTCGAACCACACAGTTGGCCATGTGGGATCCAGCCACCTTGACCACCACACCCACCTCGCCTGACATACGTATTTCAAAAAATGTAAAAACAGACAAAATGGAGGTCTCTCAAAAGCCTACATAATAAAGTCAATTAAAAACACTGCCTCTTTAAGTGTGACTTACCAAAGTCAAATAAAATATGCATAGCTTTACTTGGAGAATAAATTTTCTTCTAAATCTAGATTATGTTTCTCAGGCAAACAGCAAAATTTGTATCATAATATTCATTTCTGTTTTTTTCCAAACTAGTGAGAAGATCTCTTCTTTGGAGCAAACCCATTAAAGTGGATCTTCAATAGAATTATATATTAATGAGTAGGATTAACATAGGAAAATGTCATAAGAGGAGGATATTTCTTCACAGCATTGGAAGATAAAATACCCTCTCCAATTCCTGTTGAAGTTATGCATGCAACAAAAATATCAAATTGCAAAAGACAAGTGAATATTAACAATATAAGCAAATTCCAACTTCGTTAATTTAGGGCATAGGAAAACTATTCTTAACCTGGGAAAGATCCATAAACTTGTTCAAAATAACACAAATTAAACTAAAAGCTACATATATAATATATATCATATCATTTGCATTTTATTCTTTGACAGTGCTAATAAAATTATTTCAGTAGAAACTCCTTGTTTATGGGTCAGCCCTCTGACCTAGTGTTTAAGGGCCCCAGGTCCCACAGAGCCGACCATATGATTCAAATCCTGGCCCTGGGGCCTTGAAAAAACATGCCAGGCACCTGTGCTTATGTGCCCCAAATCCTGACAGGTTGGAGAAATAGAAGAGAAGGGGTTGCAGAGGGGCCACACTCCACTAGAGCATGTTTTCTCTCTTTGTCTCTGTGTGTCTCTCTGGTAAGAGAGAGACATGTGCCACTGGCAAATTATATTAAAAAGAAAAAGAAGGGGGAAAAAAGGAAAAAAAAAACTACTTATTTAAGCAGTAATGACTTCCATCATATCATACTCCTTCATGCTTGTGGAAAGTAAATAGTAATAAATAAATGGCAAATATTGAATGAATCCCTGGAATCAGGATATTTTTCTACATCACATACATTCTGCATCCTATCAGTGTACCATCAGCTATACAATTTTGGTAGTATTCAGAACACTTCTAGTTGTAAGTGATAAAAACCAACTCAAAAGTAGCTTTATTGAGAACAACTTATTGGCCTAGCCTGGTGGTGCAGTTCATAGCATACTAGACAATAGTGCTGGGAGACACATGCCAACAGTGGGTTTGGATCCCCAGGTGGGTCTGAAAGTATTCTGGGCACATGATCAGGTGTTCACGATCAGAAAGAACTGATGAGCTGAGGAAGGAAAACTGTAACGTGCGCGTGCGCACCCACGTGCACATGTGCATCTTATATGCACACATGTGCTTTGTAGCATAAAATAATAACAATTTATTTGTTCACATAACTGAAAATTCCTGGCTTCTGATCCGGCTGGACTTAGTACTAAAATGATGTGATTAAGAACTGGTCTCTCTCCATTTCTGTCTTAGGCAGGCTCTTCCCCTTCAGAGGCAAAACAGACTAAGAGATGATCCAGATTCACATCCTCAGTACAAAGCCAGTGCATCTTCACCAGTAATTCCAGGAAAAAAAAAATAAAATAAAAAACAAGATTGAGTCTCACTGGCCCAGGTTGGATAACATGTTTATTTCTGTACCCTCACTGCAGCCAGCTATATGGAGTGCCCACTTCTGAAGACGTGAGACGGTAAGAGCTAACTCACTTCAACCACATATACCAAGAGTGAAAGAAGGGTTGCTTCCCTAAAGAAAACCAGGAAAAAAATAACAGACAGGAAAAATAGTGAATAGTACAATTCATAGTGATTTGTTTTTCCAATAACTATTATACTGAGGTAACTTGGGGAAAATTTTAATACAATTGTGAACACTTTGTTGTAAAGCAGTTACACAGCAAAGATTTCTTTGAATTGTTTCTAGCAGTCCCAAAAGAGTTACTAAAAAGTCTAGCTTTTTAAGAGGTTTTTGCTATAGGGCACGTGTGCTCACCAGAAAGGTAGAGAGAGACAGAGAGACAGAAAGTGAGAAATCACCCCCCCCAAGGGAGGATGGCCACGCCGCAACCCCTTCTCCTCCATTCTCCTCTCAGGATCTTGGGCATGCACACACACGCGCCCAGTGTGAGTTTAAGCCACCAGGTCCAGGACTCAAACCACGGTCGACTACATAGGAATCCAGCAACATAGGCATTATGCTAACTGCTAGTCCCAATCTATCAATTCTTAAGGCTAGCAAGAACGAGATTCTTCTTTTGATCATTTAGTTGCATCCCTCCCTTGAGAGACAGATACTCCAAGGTACTTTCCATACTTTCTATCTTCGCCTTTTGCCATTAAGTTTAAATTTTTAGAACACTTGCAAAGACTTAGAGGCATACCTGCAGCTACTATCTCAAGAAATTTCTATTCATGGGTTCCCAAGCACTACAAAAACTGGTTAGAGGCCAGCTATAAACATTTTTCTATGAGATCAAGCAAACCAACATCTTTATCTCTCTCCTTTTTTTTTAACTTACATTTCAACACTTATATCTTTAATGGGGATCCCATATAACTTAATTCACTTATCTTAATTTTAATTTGAAAATATCTCTGCATTTGTAAATGTATATGCCACAAGAGGACTACATAATAAACTGTTATTGGCCATTTATATCTTCTGTTAAATGTGACACCCAATTCTTTCCTAAAGAGAGAACTTTCTATGAGGGAATTGAAGGAAAATACAAATGCAGAGAAAGCCTGGGGAGCATAGAAAGCCATTAAAGGAAGGAAAGGCCGAGGCACTCAAGGAAATGTTCATTAATAGCAAATTCATCCCATATATATGGTCAGAGCACTGACTATAAGCAAACCACTGTGCTGGTGAGTACCAGAAACATGGCATAGCCCCCATTTCTCCAAAGTCATAAACAGCAATGGGATGGTGGGAGCCTGAGCAGGAGAGTGACAATGACAGGCCAATTCCTTCTCCCACAACTGCCCATCACAAGATCTAGAATTTTTAGATTCTTGTGATAAATAATAGACTACACTTTTTTAAAAATGTTTCATTCAACTCATCTGTACATTCAAAAAACTACTTCCTTCCTAGCTCTCAGGATAACACGGAAACAGAAAAAGGAAGCAGTACATGGAAAAAAGTTAAATTTAAGAAGACAATGCAGGTCTGGTAAATTATGAAAAGGATTGGGAGTGTAAAGATTTTTTAAAATTTTTAATTCACACAATTACATACTGAGTGTTTTTTGTACAGTAGCTATTATATGGTCGTATTGATTATTTAAGGAAAATTAGACTTAATATCTCTGTGTGCTATACACACACACACATACACGAGTCAGCAGTGGCATAGTGGCTAAGGCACTGGACTTCCATGTGACCGACTGCAGTTAGAATCCCAGACCTAATGGCTTGAAACTCATGCTGGGTGCATGTGCATGTGTGCCCAAAATCCCAAAGGAATAGAGGACAGGGAATTGTGGCATGGCCATCTGCCCAGGGTGTGATTTCTCATTTCCTGTCTCTGTCGCTCTGGTAAGCGTACACACCCTATAGTAAAAATATCACAACACAAACACGTACTACACACACATACACACACACACACAACTTTCTATCAGAAACTGATAGGAAGGACTTTCCATAAAAATTAGTAAAGGACAAGCACTAAAGGAGAGACACACAATGCTACGGGAGGTCAAACAAAAAGAGATTTTAGAAGATGACAAGGAGGGACCAGCAGATGGCACAATAGCTATGTTGCTGGACTCCCATGTAGTTAAGTGCAGTTTGAGTCCTAGACCCGGTGACTTAAACTCATGCCAGGCGCATGTGCGTGCATGCCCATGGAGAAGAAGGGATTGCGGTGTGGCCATCCCCCTGGGGCATGATTTCTAGCTTTCATTCTCTCTTTCTCTCTCTGTCTTTCTGGCGAGCACACGTGCCCTATAGCAAAAAACCT